TGCTGATTATTTGGAGACTTACCCCAGTTTGGCGACAAAACAATCTGGTAAACTATACCATACTATAACGCTTCCAAACCACAGTACTGTAACTTGACTAACAAGGAGCGCCCTAGCATTCATCCGGTTTCGATTGATTGGGCTTCTGCTCAAAAACGGATTTGCCCCACAGATTTCGATGCGAGCTTTCCGAATTTTTCCTTTGCTACCTCATATCTTTTCCGTAAAGCAATTTTTCACAATACCGCTTTAGTAAATCACTTACGATAAAAATAACTCTATGATGAAATAAAACTAGAGGAACCAGCAAAGCACGTTTTCTTTAAATTCTACATTTTTGATGTGCAATTATTTCCTTTGATTAAAATGAAGCGATCAGGTAATTCCTAGTGGAAACAAACTTTTCATAAAGTTGATGCAAGCAGCCGCTGGTCTTGCACAAGATTTGTATTTATCGGAAATAATGGAGCGGGGACAAAGTTTGCGGGAGTTCTGCATTGTTCCGGATCCCTTCTATATCCGGTGAGCACAGTTATTCATAATTTAGCATAGAGAACGTTGGACGCAAGAGTTTCGATCTCAGAGACGTGCGAAAGGTTTTGTACGAAATAACCAAGAATTAAACTGAATGTTTGCCTTTGATCTTTGTAAGCATGACCAATCGCATGCAACGTTGTTTCGTACTTTTTAGTAATCATCATTACGATATAGGTCTAATAGTGTGGAGACAAATAAATGGAAAGCGAACAAGTAGATCTGGTTTACTGAACACTGAGTATGTGGCGCGCAAAGCGGTGACATTGATAACTGTCACCTACAAATAGTACACCAAAACTTGATACATCTTCGGCCTATACGCTGAAAATGGCAATGGCTCTGACTTCGTTGAATGACAGTTACCGTTTTATGAACCTGTAAATGTCGCTCATCATTATTAAAAGGACAACTCGTCACTCGGTCTGAATACGTGGTGTAATCGCAGCTGCCAACAGTGACATTCTATGCAAAATTGCATAAATAGGCTCTAGACAGAAATGAATATGTTTGCGTTAAGATTAAATGTCCCAGAAGTTTATTTATTCAGATATGTTCTATCCTCAGGAGATGGTTTCAGATATCCTCGTACTTCCTTTGCCTCAAATAGCCTCTAAACCCGGTTCTTAATAACACTTAGCACATTTACTAATACCAAGAGGTTACGGTTGAGGTCGGGTTTGAAAGTGTAAGGAACAGCGAAGCGAGAGTGCGCCCAAGTGATCACCACGTTGCCGGCCGACCTCAAACATAAATGATTCGCACGGTATATACCTAGGCACCTGGACTGGTACATTTAGGCCTGAAGACTTCTTGCTAATCTGATTTTTTAACTGCCCAAGGTTGGCAGAATAAGTAAAAGCTACTTTGGGTAGAATGTTCAACAATCTCTATATCCAAGGAATAAAAGAGCGGTTTTGGATGTAAGAAGTTCGAAAGTGTTAGGATGGGGGCAGAGGCCTGACCGATCTATCTGGAAGGCTCAACGCGTGGTGGCATCATGGAGGAGAACTCTGAGGCACAAAGCCCGTTGGCGTAGTGATAGAAGAGAACCAAATCGCCGACCTGCTGTCGACGTGGAGGGGTTCCCAGACAATTTTTTAAAAAAGCATCACCGATCAGTTGGCCAGCCCTCCTCTGAACTGCATCGGGTACGTACAGTGTAGTCGAGACAGCAATACCCCAAGCATGTTAGCAGTACTGGAGACCAAGTCAGCGAGGAGGTTATATGGAGAAAAGTACTTCCTTAAACAAAAACCTACCTTTTCCCAGGTGCGGTCGCGGTTGACGAGATGTGTTAGTGCTATATCAAGTCTTCGAAGCTCTGGACTCTGACCATTTGTAACAAATAGCTTCTTTGCAGAACTCGATCATCCATCGAAAATTGATGTCCAGTCTGCAAAAATAAAAAAGGAAATTGCTTTAAACAAAACTAATTTTAAAATACTCTTGGACGTTTTGTAGAGCAAGATTTGAAATATAATTTAGATACTTGGCAACCTGAAAAAATTTAAATTTAACCGAGCTTTTAAGCATTGTATAAAGGGTGATTCACAACTTATCCGCCAAATTTTAACCACATATGCACTGTTACGAAAGAAGTTGATTTCTCGAAAAAAAAAAGTAATAAAAGTCCTACAGAAATCGAGATAATAAAATAATACAGTTTAACAGTTCACTTACTTATGAATCTGTTCAAAATTGTTTCCATTGACTGCAATGCAAGCTAGGGCGCGCCTAATCCAATTTCGGCGCACTAATTCAAATACACCTCCTTCCTGCTGTGCCTGAAGGCTCAAATTATCGGTAGCCACTGTGTTTCGGTCACGTAATTTTTCAATATTCTGAACTGGAGTACCGTATACCTCGTTTTTCAAGTATCCCCATAAAAAGAGTCCAGAGAATTTAGTTCGGGGACCGTGGAGGCCATGCAATTGGTCCACCCCTTCCAATCCAGCGTATCTGGTATACCTGAATAAAAAAAAGCACGAACTTCTAAACAAAAATGCGGAGGTGCCCCATCGTTTAGAAACCACATCCGTGCTTGTACCGCCAATGGCACATCTTCAAGAAGGACCGGCAAATCATTCCGAAGAAATTCCGAATACTGGTGACCATCCATCCGATCTGGCAATATGAACGGTCCAATTAGACGTTCATCGACAACACTTGCCCACACTTTTAAAGAAAAACGATGCTGGAAGTGGGTCTAGACCACTGCGTGAGGATTCTCAAAGGACCAAACGTGTATATTATGAAGATTGATTATCCCACTACGAGTAAAAGTAGCTTCTTCGGTTTCCAAAATATCAGCTGTAAAACGGGCATTTCGAGAATTTTCTTGCAACAACTCCACACTCCACTCCACCAGTTGTGACTCATGTAATATGCACCACGCTGTTGCATGTGACACTTCTGGGACCTGGTGGGCTAACTTAACTGCCTTGTGCTTATTCCCGGATTTTCTTCCACTCTATCTAAAATTTCGTCTTCGGCAGTTAAAACGCGTTGTGGGCGAACCCGATCCCCATCCACGCCACGTCTCGGGCGCAAATCTCCACCAGCACGTGCACGTGAAACAATTGAATTAAATGTTTAGTGACGTGGCATATGACTATTCGAAAATCGGTGTGCATACAAACGAGAAGCCGCTCGCGAATTTTGCCCTGCTTCTCCGTACGCTAAAACAACGTCCGCTAACTCCTCAATAGTTTACACATCTGCGATTTTTAATAATAAATAACTGAAAACATGAACTCGCAAAATACTTTATTATTTAACTTCACAAAAGTCGACCGTTCTTCATTCAGATCACCCACGATACACGTTCTTATCAGTATGAAAAAACAAAAAATTCCTGGTATTTTGTTTTCTTCAGTTGTTTGGTACATCATTTGCTACAATAAATTATTAATGCGTGTTCTAATATCACGACGATTAACGCAAAATACAGATATTTATTTTTCAATTTATTGTTGAAACTCAGGTTTATAACTTAATTTCTGTAGACTTTTATTATTTTTGTTTTGAGAAATCAAATTCTTTCGTAACAGTGCATATGTGGTTAAAATTTGTCGGATAAGTTGTCAAACACCCTGTATAACCACTTTTAGGGTTTTCAGAGATTAAAGGCGATGAGCACCAACCAAGAGAATTCAGAACTAAATTAGTATGTTGAAAATATATAAAAGTGACGAAAGCATGAGTTTTTCCTTTATTTTGACTGACAGTGGAAGTTTTGAACCTTCTTGGTTTATGCTCGCCACCCTAACTCGCTTATAACTGGAAAACGGCCAACTTTAGAGAAAAGTTACAAGAAGCCTTTTTTATACAAAATTGTCCAGAAACCCTGATAATCACGTTTGTTGAACGTCCTTCAACATAAAACAAGGAGTAGTCGCTTGGCAATCCGGGTCATGTTTATTTAAACAATTTTTAAATAAATTACAAAAGAAATGTTTGTCGCCTGGATTGATTTTTTCTGAGCAAAAAGGCTTCTAGTAACTATTCTCTGAAGTTGACTTTTTCCAAGTTATAAGCGAGAAAACCTGGAAATGGGTATATTGAATGCTCAAAACTCTGTTGAATATTATAATTTTTCAGGTCGCCACGTATAAATTAAAGTCTGAAGCTTGCTCTAAAGATCAAAATGAATATGTCAAGACTAGTTTATTTTAAAGCGATATTCCCCGACTGCATGCTATGGGGGCGCATCTTATTACTGTTTTGGAGTCATTAACATTTTGTGCAAAACCTGTGTGGTTTGTCTGCTCGTCGTCCCAATTATTTATATCGGATTCCCCAATTTTTCTCCTCGTTCTGGTTTTCGACTTGAATCCTGGATGCCTTGACGATACTGTCACGACACTGCAATCCAAATAAGAGCAAGCAATAGAAGTCCGTCTGGTAGGGTTCGGGCGAAGCCGTTTGATATTTCGCACACGCGACGCATAGGACGTCGACGAAGGCGTCGCCGGAATACGGATGGCGTCTAGGCGCCCCGACAGGGACGTATTCATCATTTTTAGGGAACGATCCCTCGATTTAACCAGCTCGTTTTATTGGAAAATAAAAATCGTGACTAGAAAACATCGACGCCGGAAGTGAACAAGCTCCGAAAAATGAGAGATTGGAATTGACTCTCGATTTTAGAGACGGTAAGCGAGGTGTTTTGCTGGAAACATCTTCGTTCTTATCGAAAAAAAGATGATTTACTGCATAGAGTGTTATAAAACAACGTAGCTTAGTTCTCACAAAATATCTATGAGCTCGACAGATATTGGAGTCCGTCAATCAGGTTCTGGTTTAAAATTACAAATTAGACATTAAACAAATTAGATTTCTGGTAAGAATGAAGAACAGGATAAAATATAGTGATAAGAATACTTATATTTTTATTCAATAACATGTATCTGTATTGGTAAAATAGTATTCACACTAGAATAATTCCTCTTTTTGTTTTCCAGGTAAGGCCAGTGTTCCTGATAACCAGATAAGTAAGTTTGAACTCTTTGTGGGCATTCATGAGTAATCAATATTTTTGCTAACCGAATTTTGTTTCAAACATTAATATGTATATTTAGAAAATACTATATGTAAACATTGTTCTGTTTTTATTTCCCACGCCTACTGGCGAGGAAGTATTGTAGTCACGAGAAATTTTGAAAATAAGATATACTTTTTGGATGTTATCTGACGTGTATATTACGAAAAACCATGTCATTTGTTTTAGTCGGTCAGTCCTCTGTCTGTTCGTCGGTTCGTTAATTCTTGGCCCGTCTATTTCTTGAGAAGTGCCACTCGGATTTTGATGAAACTCTCACACAAGGTTACTACTATGCCAAAGACAAGAAATTTTTGAAGTTTTTGAAAATCGGTTCAGAGGCGGCGGAGCTCGAGGCAAAAGCAGATAGCTTTTTGGCGTTGCAGAGGCTCCTGGCATTTCCAAAAAATTTTTTGTTGGGTTTAAAAACGGGGATTGGAGGTTGGTAAATTCATAGGTTCGGTACTTCAGTAGTTCTACGCACCTATTAGACATATTTCACACATAATAGATTTCCTCGTACATTTGCCATCAAGAAGAATGATCGCTCCTGTTCTCTGGGCTCACCGGCAGGCGTGCTGGTTCTCCCATTGTTGCCGTGCCGCTGCGGGTTGTAGTCAGATATTTGGGAGACCGACGTTGCCAGATCGATGGCACTACCGTGGGTCTGATTCACTAACTTGATGCGTTTAATTTTTCTGTCGTACATGTTTGTAACCAACTCTTTTGTGCTGAACATAATCTTCTATGAACTGATCACGGCGTTGCGTGGGAAGTGCAGAATGAACCCACTTGACGCCTTTTTTTAGTACAATGAAAAATTACGGGACTGGCCGACTATGTGGAAAAACAAGATAAAAGGTAAGGTCCCGAGAGGCCCAAACACAGTACCTAATTGCTTGCGGTTTTCCGAAGAATGGCGGTCAAAGAAGGGCGAAAACAGTTTTTGGACTTAATTTTTAGGTATTTTTTATGTAAGTTGCTTATATGGGGTTGTCCAAAACGGACGCAGGAAAGTAAACGCATATTAAAACAAGAAAGATTGATATTCAAATCAAGTTGGGTACTTTATTTTGAAGGTTCATTTATACCATTTATGTATGAAAAATAATATCGCTCAAATGTTCACCACGACTGGATTTACAGACGTCCACGCGATGGTCGAAATTTTCGATGACATTTTGCAACATGGTCGGTTCTATGGCATTTATCTCGGCAATGATGTTGTTTTTGAGTTCTTGAAGGGTGGCTGGTTTGTTGACGTAGACTTTGCTTTTCAAATATCCCCATAAAAAGAAGTCCAAGGAAGTCAAATCGCACGATATTGGTGGTCATGGCACATTTCCTCTGCGCGAAATCACGCGATCACCGAAGAAGGACTGCAATCGATGGATATTGACGTTGGTTGTGTGCGCGCGAAACGTGTTTTTTATTTTTGCACCATTTTTGTAGTGCTCTTGAATAACTTTAATGCGGTCTTCAATCGAATACGACTCCATAGCGATCAATGGTAAACATTCAACTAACAAAATGACATGTCGGTGACAGAAAACAAAGATGGCGTCTATGTCAAATTGACGTTTACTTTCCTGCGTCCCTATTCGAAACCCTTCAAAACAAACAGATGTCGATGGACCTTGGCAATACTATGGTTCTGGGAGTACAACATGGGTCAAGTCAGTCAAGTCATAGTTGGTTGTCAGAGCGATCCGTGGGACCTTTGCTCTTGAGTCACAGTGTCAGTTTGTAAGTCTGTCAGGTCTGGTAACCCAGAAACCAGACAATTTTAAGGAAAAAAGGGGAAGGAAAGGAGAGAAGGAAGAACGAGAGCAAAGGGGAAGAAGAGAATCTTTTAGGATAGGCAGCGTTTAGGCATTGTTAAAATCACTTCACAGATTTTGATATGGTCTAAAAATATTTGATTTTTTCTAAAGATTGTGTAAAAATGCTCCAATTTTGGTTGTTCTAAGTTCACGAGTTAATTTTGATTACAGTGCGAGCCGCGGCCTTTTGTGCTTGCGAACTTGCTCGACTGTGTAGTCCACTGACTCACGCAACAGAGGGTTGCTGTGCGATTCCGCTAGGCTATAGCGCCGCTGCGCCTGTTGCTTAATGTAGTCCTTTAGGTAAGGGATACAACATGGGTATGCTTTACAGTTATAAAAACATTGTACAGTATGTTGGAAAACAGTTTTTGGTAAAAAATATTTTATTTCAGTCATATTCATACACACATTCAATTAGACATTCAACGTAAGATACAGGGCCTTTGAATATATTTTCTTCCTTGTTTGTTGTATATATCAGAACTGGTTGACTAACCTTTCCCCAGTTTCGATTGGCAGTGGCTTACAGGTTCATTTTCATGTTTGATATCTACATCAAGAGAAAGCAGTATCATATTCCGTGATATACGCTTACAATAATTTCTCTGTAACACTACACACTTCACACTTTTTACGTACAAGTATTTATAGCAGAGATATATCAATGTCACACGGTTACACATCCAAGCAATATATCGTTTTTCTGCTCTAATGGGGACATACGAGTGCATTGCATGTATCGTATCAGTCACTTCAAAAACAGTACGTTTCAGCGAAACAACCAATTGTTTTTTTGTTTGTTATTGAGGCTGAAAATGCCTGTAATTTATGGTGCATTCAAAGTTAAAGCAAATTCCACAAAATATGAAAATATGAATCACAAAAAATATGTTTCAAAAGCGTAGAATCTTTACTTGAAATAGTATTTCCGTGCAAGCCGAAGTCTAAATACCAGGGCTGTTATGAGGAGCTTTAAAAAACTGATTTGTGAACTGCCTAAGATTAGTAGAGCTGGGACAAGCCTCTTCAGGTAGATTGTTCTACATTCTCCATATCCTGGGGTCAAAGGAGCGGTCATATCCGCCAGTTCTGCATGTATGAAGTTCGATACAGTTAGGATGGGTGGCCAAGTCAGGCGGGTCTGTCTGGTAGGCATCATCCCAAACATGTGAGCAGTGCTCGAGGTTAGGTCTCTTCTAGGCCTTGTACAGAGTGAGGAGGTCATGTGGAGAAAAGTACTTCTTTGCCCTAGCCAAATAGCTTCGTTTTCCAAGCTGCTGCCGCTATTGAGGAGATGTGTTCGTGTCACATCAAGCCCTTGGTGATCTGGACTCCGATTAGCTGAAATGAACGTTTGGTAGAACTCGGCCATCCATCGAAACCGGATGAGCGCTAGGGCGCTTCTTGTTAGTCAATGTACAGTTCTGTGTTTTTTAAGAATTATACTGTGCCAGATTGTTACGTCCCCAAGCAGCCATTACCTTCAAGTCTCTCGTCACAGAGCAAGTCGCTGCTAGCCATAGCCATGTGTCTTCCAGCTCCAGATCGGCTTGTCGCTCTGAATTCCTGCATGTAGAGTGCGACAGCAAACGTGTGGATCGGACTGATCGCACAGGAAAGGTGGTCGTTGATACGATGAAATTCGGAACCAGGAGAAACACCCGCGTTGACATTGAGGGAGGAAGTCGAGAACCCTTCAATTATGACGGCTAATGAAAATTATACCAAGTGACATATAAATCCGAACACCCAGTTTAAATGGTTTTATTTTAATAAAAGTTGGTGAATGTATTTATCTTACTGTAAATAACAAGTGAAAAAATTTTCAGCCTTATCAGTTGGACATTCCGGTTTTTATACTGCTTTTTTTTTAATTCACTAACGCTCTAAAAATGAATATTTCAGCCGCAGTAAAGAATCAACGTTGGCGGATTTTGGTTCTTGACATCCTTTACGATCGATTACGATGCCTAGAGTATGGAGACCTGTACGATTTCGTCAACTTAGTGAGTTTGATAGGGGCCGTATAGTGGGACTTCGGGAAGCTGGACTTTCTTTTTGGGCAATTGCAGTTAGAGTGCAAAGAAGTGTAGACACTGTGGTTAGGTGTTGTCAGGCATGGCTTCGAGAAGGCCGTACGCAAAGAGCAGGGGGCACTGGACGCCGCCGTAGAACAACAGACCGTGAAGATCGCCGCCTAAGATTATTGGCCTTAAGGGACCGTTTCTCCACTACCAGGTCCATTGCAAATGAATGGTTTGCAGAACACGGAAGACCTATTGGCATGCGAAGTGTTTACCGACGAATGAGAAGTTTTGGCTTGTTTTCATACCGACCACACTGCTCCCTTTAACTCGAGAACACCGACGTAATCGCCTTGATTGGTGCAGACAACGGTCACTCTGGGATCAGGAATGGAACAGTATTGTCTTTAGTGACGAGTCTCGATTTTGTTTAGGCATGCACGATGGTCGTGCCAGGGTTAGAAGGCGACGTGGTGAAAGGAGGAATCCACAGTTTTTTGTTGAAAGACATGTTCATCACACTGTTGGAGTTATGGTTTGCGGTGCTATAGCTTATGGTTCCAGGTCACCTTTAATCTTCATCAGAGGTAATATGAACGCGCAGCGTTATATCCACGAAGTTCTAGAACCCCATCTTCTACCCTATCTTGACACCCTGGCAGATCCAACTTTCCAACAAGATAATGCCCGACCACATGTTGCAAGAGTCACAATAGACTTCTTTCAACATAATGATGTCACATTGTTACCATGGCCACCAAGATCTCCCGACTTATCCCCAATTGAGCACGTGTGGGATATGATGGGTAGGAGATTGCTCAATTTGCAACGTCCTCCTCAGACTCTAGACGCACTTCGAGAGGAGTTGGTGGTTGCCTGGAATGAGATACCACAGGAGGACATTGACCACCTGATCAGAAGCATGCCTAGGCGTGTTGGAGAATGCGTAGCACATCAGGGTGCATCCACACATTATTAAAGGTCAAAAGGCTTTAAAGCAGTGCAATCATTTTGAAATTTTTATCATTTACTTATTATGCTTCATTAAGTACTTATACAAAATTTTATTAAAATAAAACCATTTAAACTGGGTGTTCGGATTTATATGTCACTTAGTATACTATTGAAGAAAGAACATTCAAAAAGCCTTATATACCCTTCATTTGAAAATAAGATGCTAAAACCATAGTGCAGAGTGTCAATTTCAACTCGGTTCACTCTTAAGGAAGGATATATTATATCTATGTATATGAAACAGATATACAGTTTTTAATTCTTAAGCGTCCAACATTGTAGACATACTTCTTGTTCTGCTTCCTTCCTCCTTCCATCTCATTTGTTTGCTTCGTGTCCGTTTGTCTCCAGGACTAGACTTATACTGCACTGATGAGTTGCTTATGAGCGCAAAACAGTGCTGTCCGCTATTATCACAGAGACGGAAGGCAAACATGACCGTTTCAACAAGAATAAGGTTACAAGAGAATAAGTCTAATATGCGCTAAATATTTAAAAAAACAATTTTCGTATAGGTGTTATAGAAGTAGAATAGAGAATAGAAATGATACGCACAATACCGATCTTGCAAAACTAGTTTTTCTTAGAAAATATATTTTACTGTATAAATAAGCATGCCGGTTTTTATATCTAACCGATTGTTGATTATTGATCAAGCTTGACATAAGTCTATGTTCTTTTCCACGAAGGGCGATTCATGGACTCATGGATGTAAAAATTCGGTTTTCCTGGGGCGTTCGTTTTGTCCAGGTCTCAAAATTCAGCATGTGACATGTTATTAAGACAATATTCATGTGTAATCTTCAATAATAAGCAACAAAAAGTATTAAGATGGTTATTTTGCTCAAGTTATACAACTACCGTATTTCGTGCCAAATCCGCACAAGAACAGTTTTTTGGGGGCTCTTTCTATATTTATTATTGTCCATAACCTGTGAAGATTATTGAACATTCGAACCTTTCAACACTAAAGTAGCATAACAAATTTGAAACAGGCTTATTTGGCAATGACACAGTCGTTATTGTCTCATGAAAAATTCAAATTGTGTGTGGTTTTTGAAGCGACCAATTTAGTTGTATCCCAAAAGATTTCTAACGTCCTCCTTCTGAATGCTCGTTCCTTACAGGAAACAAGAGCTCGTAAAACACATATATTTCATGTTTATTTTCGTATTTCTTATTCTGAACCAGAACAGCCCCTGTCGCATTGTTTTAACTCACTATAGCCGTAAGTTGTGTTTTCTTTCGGGGTTGTTGAACCTGCTTTAACGTTTGCTTGCGTAACATTTATGAAAAAGTCTCGGATGAAGTTGGCAAAGATACAAAAATGTTCTCATTTTCAATGAACGTTTGGCACATGTTTTGAATTATCGGACTCTCTGTTTTATAACCGGGAAGTTTGGCGACTACGGTCTATTTGGCTGATGGCGATAGTGCCTGAGATCTTGTCGAAGTCTCTAGTCTAGCCAGTGGCGTATATAAGGGGGGCCAGGCATCCTAAATAGTACAAAATACTGATCACGTTCTGGGCGAATTGGCCAATTATTAGTTGAATTATGACAGACTTTATTGAAAAAAATATTGTGAAAGCGCTTGAGGTTGTTTATTGATTCCAAAATTTGCAAAGCTTTACATAATTTGCATGTTTCAAGTTGGGAAGGTGGGAATTGGGATGATTTGGACCTTCGGCTTCAATAGGTCCAAAACATTAACTGCAGCTATCGGATCCAGAACAGTTTTTTTGCGTTGGGATTAAATATTGATATTTGTGTATGATTCTTCCAAACTAGTAGATGGTAGCCTAGAATATTTTAGACCTGTTTCTAAAGCTTTAATAGTCACCATGGTGCAATATACATTTTATGTTGGATCACAATATATATGGAAATAAACGTTACGTTGCCCCTTGAAAACAGGAAAATAAGTCTTTGGTGTTCTTTCTAGTTAGTCTCATGTTTATTTTTTCATCAACTTTTCCAATATTTCTTTAATCGTGTTGCTTCAAAAATACCGAAGTGTTTTCCTGCTGCTAGCATAGAATATTAAACCTTCTTTAAGCTATTTTTAACCTGCTAACAGGTAAACAACATGTTTTGCACTATTTCTTAAAAATCTACCAATTCAAAATTTCCAAAAAAGTCATAAAAGTTGCGTAGTTCGCACTCTACAAGTTGACAATTGAAAACGAAGCAAATTCTATTGAAAAACCAGAAAAACGTAGTTGTCGGTGTTCAGGGGCAAAATGGCTTTTCTTTCAATAGTTTTTGTAACTTGCCACCCTGAAAATCTGAACAAAAACTTTCGATACTTGAACTCAAATTTAATATTTATCCATCAAAAGGCCTAAATATTTTTTTACATTATGTTGTCCACTTATCATTTCATACATAATTCTTATGACAGTCAGACATACCACCTTCACTAACTTTTTATTTTTTCTGCCCACCTCCTCGAAACCAATGCACACCTGCCGGATTAAAGTCATATACACGCCACTTAGTCTAACCAATGCATATGTTTCAGTGGGGTACTTTTAGGTTTAAACCCAGGTCTACTGAACTGATTTTTGAGATATTTATTGTACAGCATATTTAAAAAATATACCTATCAAGTTTGTGCGACTTTGACTTTCGAATCTTTTTGATTATAAAAAATTTCGTTTATCCATGTATGCAGTTATTTACCTAGACTTTTAACAAACCAGATGCTGTATATATCTCATTAAACCGAACAAACAATAAATTTGAAAATGAGAAATTATATTTTTGGTTATTATATGACATCATGTAAAACCATGTCATGCATTTCCGTCTCTCTGCCTATCTGTCTGTCGATCTAAACTCTTATTGGCTCGTCTATAACTTGGAATTTACCTCTGACACTTTGATAAAATTTTCACAAAAAGAGAAAAAACAATGTGCAGTTTTCGAAAATCGGTCTAGTGGCGGCGGAGGACATTTTTTGTAGCGGTTAAAAATTTGGGTCTGGATGTTGTAGATGGGAGGGAAGATATATTTCAATTTTTTGATTTTAGTATATACAGGGTGTCCCGCGTGGTAAAGGACAACATTTTTCTACGTATTCCTCAGGTCAATACGAGTGGAAAAAGTCCTATGAACATGGGTCCGTAAATGCTTCCTTATCGAGATAATTATTTTTTTATTTTTAGGGTGCTATTGGTGGGAAAGCCACAATATTGTTGGAAAATTGCTTTTATTTAACACAAAATTACTAGGTACAATAAAAATTGACTATTCACAATAGTTGTTTAAAGTGTCCACCTTCACACTGTAAACATAGTGTAGCCCGTTTAATAATGTGACTGGTGGCTTTGCCAATAACAAGACGAGTACTTATTATGTCGTCAGCGACATCAGCAATTTTACGGAGCAGCTCAGCCGTGGTATGCGATTTCTCTGCATACACTAAAGACTTCATATGTCTGCACAAGTAATAATCCAAGGGATTTAAAACGGGCGAGCGGGGTGCCCAAGAAACTGCGCCCCCTCGTCCAATCCAACACAGGCAGTTCTTCTCGTTAGATTTGAAGATAAACTTCAGATGTCAACCGACCGTCAAACACAAAAGGGGCAGCTAAGTGATCCTCTAACAAACCGCACCAGACATTAACAGAAAAACG